CGTAAACCTCTCTCACCGGCTGCTGAGCTGTCCGGCTGCGGTTACCGAGACACTCCGGCGCTGCAGAAAATTCTGATGCTGCGCATCTAGCATGCCCTGCGGGCGACCGTGCGAGTTCACGTGACAAAGGAAGAGAGATAGGCTGGTCCGGTGTGCGTAAGGCAGTGGCTCATTTGGGGCATTGTTTCAGTCGTTTTTAATGACTCAGGCTTTCAAAAGATCATTTCAAAACTGACCTTAGTAAAATCTTTATAATATCAATAATAAAAAAAATAAAAATAAAAAAAAAACGAGTTTCAAAAGGGCATTTTCTTTGATAAAGGGCAATCTTCCCAGTGCTTTAGCACCACCTAGTGTCTATGTATGCACGCCTCTGCATTTTAGTATTATCATTAGGAAAAAGGGGTAATGAGCAATTGTGTGAAAATATTGAAGCAACAAGTCAAACAGCAGACCTGAAGTTAAGCATGGGCATGAATGTGTCTTTCAAATGGACAATGATCAGCCATGTTTGAAAGTACAAATAATAATGAGAAACCATGTTGACATAAACTTAGTGTAGCTATGACCAAATGTACTGACTACTAAACTCTCATTGGTACAATCATGTAAGAGCTAAATCATGACCAGAAACACAAAACTCCTTCATGCAGTCATAAAAGTAGAATCCTGCTGTTGTTGTGAGATGAAGCAAAATATGTTACAAAGTCTAAGCACTGAAGAATTTCATTTTGGATGCGATGACTTGTGTATTTTGCATTGCCAAATCCTCTATTTTTTTTTTTTATTAACTGATCATGTTTTGCTATTTCTTTCAATATAGCCAAAAAGTTTCCCTTATTTTTAGAGTCCTCAGACTCTCGAGGACCCCTTTGAGCTATATTTTGTGTTGCAGTCAACAGAAGAACATTGGCTATTGTTTTAATATAATACCGGTTTTCTTCTACCACTTTTTTCCGGTTTGCCATTATAGAACTTAGCATGGTTGTAATTCCCTCATTAGCCTTTTTATATTGACTCCATGCATACATTGCATTTACATGGAGCTCTGACTTTCAGTGAAGTTTAAATCCAGTGTCCTTGTACAATGCATTTTTCCAATTACAGAAGCCAGAATGCGAGGCAAAGAAACTGTCTGGTGCATTAGGCAAGGAAAAATGCCTACAGGCAAAGCAGTAGGAATGGTCTTTAATAACAGAATATTCTAACAAAGAATAGTCCTTGTACCAGGAGCTGTGAAAATACCTCTTTCTCATTGCAATCTGGGTTCTGGGAAGGTTTTTCGAACTTGGCTGAACAGGGGCCTGTTCTTTGAACCTTGAAATATCTGGAATAGAAACATAATGGTCATATAAACACAATTGACTTGACCATTATGTCATGTAAATTGAGCAACTACTAAGCAGGTGTTTGTCTAAGTAAAATTACCACCGGGTTCTTTTTGAGCCGTAAAAGGAGTGCTGGACGCAGCTGAGATGAGGTCAGTGGGATCTCCTGCAACTGGCCCTTCTGGCTCCTCATCATCCTGGTCAGATGCAGAGCTCTCTGTGTTATAAAAGAAAAGAAAAAAGAAAAAGATAAAAGAAAAATCTAATAAAATGACAAAACCAAAAACACAAGAATTGAAAGAAATTTAAAATTTTATGTAAAACATAAAACAAAAGGAGTAAAAAGATTAAATTGTCCCAAAGTTCCTGCCCTTTCCTGGGGAATCTGAGCCTTTGACAAAGTGTTCTCGTTTATTATTCCATATGTGCTACTTTCATAGAATATTATTAGTAATAATCAGTGAAAATAGCAAATGTTATCAGTGGGGAACCTAAATGGAGCCTGCTTGTACTCATTTTACCTTACAAGCTGGCTCCATTAGGATTATCTTTCACAGGACAGAAAGACAGAGCAGAACACGACTTTATGAGCAGAATTTCTTGACTTTGTGGCCAGAAGATAAAAATATTTCCCCTGTAATAATATTGGCCAGAAGTAGCTAGTCTGATTGTTATTGTCTTATCTTGGCTAGTATTTTTCATTCTGTGTAGTTTTTCTAATGAGAGAGCCAATCAGAAATCGCTTTTAGAAAGTGCATTACAGACCAGAGGATTTTGGCAGGTCAGACAATCGGGAAATGTTACTCATGATCCATTCTGTCTGATAAAACGGTTCACCACGATGTATACTTTTTTTATTTTTTTAATTATTTACAATCCGTTTTTATCCTCACTGACATAGTTCAGTCAGACGTGAGTGATAAACACACTGAAACACGTCAGTATCTTCACAATACTTTTTGCTTCTGAGTACATTATGAGTCTGACTGGCCTGACTCGCTCACTAAGGCGGCTACAACTGTAACCTTGCTAGCTTGCTGCTGTCAACTTTTTTTTTGTTTTGTTTTTTATCAGTTAACCACTCTAAAACTTACCTTTGAAGTCAGATTATGAGTCTTGAAGTCAAATCGACTGAATTCCACTTGGCTGTACAATATTTCTTTATCACCTCTTCACGGGTCTCCTTTTCTGTTGGAAGACTGTTGGATCAACTCTGCTGTGTCCAAATGGCATATCGCCCCCTGCTGGTTTTGAGCGTGTAGCTGTCACAAGTGTCACAACCCACTGTGATAAATACTGCCACCTACTTTGCAGGAATGACCGAGTGTCGTGACATGTCAATCATCTGGGGGGGCCAATCGCCACTGTCAGGAAGTCCACAAACTGTAGTTAAAAGCCTTCAGCTGATCCAAAGTGCTGAAGCCAGAATTCCGATGAAAATTAAAAAGAGAGATCATATCTCATCTATCCTAACTTCTCTTTATTGGCTTCCTGTTAAATCAACAATAGAACTTAAAATCCTCCTCACATATAAAGTCTTAAATATCCAAGCTCCATCTTATATCAGACATCTGACTGTTCCTTGTGTCCCAAAAGAGCACTACACTCTCAATCTGCAGGTTTACTAGTGGTTCCTAGAATTTCTAAAAGTATAATGGGAGGCAGATCTTTTAGTTATCAGGCTCCCCTACTGTGGAACCAACTACCAGTTTTAGTCCGTGAGGCAGAAAACCTGTCTACTTTTAAGGGTAGTCTTAAAACTTTCCTTTTTGATAAAGCTTATGGTTAGAATGGCTAAAGTTCTCCTAACTTATCTCTATAGTTATGCTGCTATAGGCGTAGGCTTCTGGAGGACATAGGGATCCCTATTCCATCATTCTGCTTCATTTTATATCTCTTGTCCCACTCTGCAGAATCTGTTAGTTCAATCTGTAACGTTATGGTCTCTCTGCTTTTCTCATAGTAGCTTTCCTGTTTGACTGTGACACCATCCTGGAGAGAAATATCAGCTGTGCTGCTGCCATCAACACCTTTGTTTATAGATGTTGGAGATTGGCCTGTTTTCCAGTGTAGTCCTGTTTCTCTGACTGTGACTGGCTGGATGTGCTCTCTTCATCCTTTGATATCGGAGTTGGCTCGGAGCTCGTCTGCCTGGCTGTGTGTTTCCTGGATGGGGCCACCTTTTACAGCTGCTTTTTGTGTCTCTGCTTCTGTTTCCTTGTACCCCAGTCAGCCTCGGCAGATGGCTGCTAATGCTGAGCCTGGTTCTGCTGGAGGTTTCTTCCTGTTAAAATGGAGTTTTCCCTCTCCACTGTCACTACAAGCATGCTTAGTGTGAGGAATTGCCTTAAAGTTAATGAGTCTATGCAAACAACTGGTTTTCCTAAAATAAAAATAACTTTGAATTAATTTGACTGTATGATCTGGTGAACTGTAAAGCGCCTTGAGATTATGTGTGTTCTGAATTGGCGCTATATAAATAAACTGAATTGAATTGATAAGCATAACCCTTTGGACCAGTGGATACAAAATGTTCTATGCTATCCCTGTTCATTGCTCAATTCCTCATAAATTGGCGCTATATATAAACTGTATTGAACTGAATATGGTTTCACACAGTACTGACCACTTGTTTTAATTACAAGAGCATACTTTGCTAGAAGTGTGTAACCAGACTCTATAACCCAGTTATTTTCAATTCCAAATTTTCTTTACACCAGTTATTTACTTGGGATTAAAATCTAGCGGCTTGTAATCCCACACTAGTGTCAAACCAACCAAGCAAACACCTGTCTATCATAAAAGAACAAACTCTGCTAGAGGTCTGTTACCAGACTCTGAACCCCAATTATTTCCAATTCTAAAATGCCTCTATAGCAGGGGTGGGCAATTCCAGTTCCTGGGGGCCAGTATCTCAAAACTTTTAGATCCATCCCTGGTTTTAACACACCTGAATCAAATGGCTGAGTAATGCAGTCAGTTCTTCCAGAATCCTCTCAATTATGTAATTACTTGATTGAGGTGGGATGACCCAAAGGTACATCTAAAAGTTGCAGGATACCAGTCCTTAGAGAATGAAATTGCCCACCCATCTTTGTGAGTGATCCTTACTCCACTCATCTATTTTGTATTACAAGCCACTGATGACTAATCAGGTACTACTTTCACACAGAAGAACCAATTTCTATGAACAAAAAAAAAAAAAAAAAAACTAGAGCTAGAGCTCTTTAACCAGTCCCTAGAACCCAAGCATTGCCAATTCAATAAAACCATTAGAGTGATTTGCATACTGCTGCTATTTATTCTGTTCCTTGTGTGCAAACAGGCACTTAACTCCGAGGGGCTATACAGCTGCGCCTAAGTGAGTTGTGTCCTTGTTTTGTAGCCTTGTGTGGGACACTCAAGAACAGATCGCCTTGTGCAAAGAAACTCTTTTATGATACCAATGAAAGTACTTAAGATATTGTGAAATGTTTATTTAACTCAAGAGGGAGAATTGCAAAGCATTCAGGGAAGGTTCTAAAGAAAAATCTTTTGTGTTTTCCTGTTTTGCGTTTTCCAAAGTTTATTTTAGGTTAAACCAGGAGTAGAACATTTTTATCAGCTTGCCATTAAGTGCACAACTTCAAGGTTAACAAAATGCAATCTTGTGTCAGAAAAGTCAACTCCAAAAAACTGAACACATTTTTTTTTATTTGCTGATCAAAAGATGGAACAGGTCACTAAAACAGCTATCAAACTGGAAGAAATCGTTCAGGAGAAGGAGCCTGCTCTGTCATGGTGAGACTAGAACTTTGGAATGAATCAGGCAGGCTCCTGGCATGTTCCACCAGTGCATAGGAATCTCTGATGTCTGTAAGGCCAAACCAGAAGACGGTCCATACTCCATTTACAAAGCTGCCATCACAGTGCCTAAAGTACCTGGACAGATAAAATATAAAATCAATCGGAGGGTATTACCCTTATAGCAAAAGCAAATGTTATATCAAAACACAAAAATGTTAACATAATGTCCAAGGACTAAACAAGTTGTTGAAGCAAGACTGCAAGCCTTTTTTTCTCTTTTTTTTTTTGCAAGATCTTTTCAAAATATCGAAAAATTTTTGAAGCATTATTTCTTGTTATTTACTTTAGATTGATTTAATACTGAAGTACTCTGCTTGAGATAATTCTTCCTTGCTTCACTTGACTCTGAAATATACAGGTGCTGGTCATAAAATTAGAATATCATGAAAAAGTAGATTGATTTCAGTAATTCCATTTAAAAAGTGAAACTTGTATATTATATTCATACATTACATACAAACTCATATATTTCAGATGTTTATTTTGTTTAATTTTGATGATTACAAATGACAACAAATGAAAATCTCAAATTCATCATATCAGAAAATTAGAATATTACTGAAGACCAATAAAAACAAAGGATTTATAGAAATGTTGGCCAACTGAAAAGTATGAACATGAAAAGTATGAGCATGTACAGCACTCAGTATTTAGTTGGGCCTCCTTTGGCCTGTATTACTGCAGCAATGCGGCGTGGCATGGAATCGATCAGTCTGTGGCACTGCTCAGGTGTTATGATAGCCCAGGTTGCTCTAATAGTGGCTTTTAGCTCTTCTGAATTGTTGGGTCTGGTGTATTGCATCTTATTCTTCACAATACCCCATAGATTTTCTATGGGGTTAAGGTCAGGAGAGTTTGCTGGCCAATTAAGAACAGGGATACCATGGTCCTTCAACCAGGTACTGGTAGCTTTGGCACTGTGTGCAGGTGCCAAGTCCTGTTGGAAAATGAAATCTGCATCTCCAAAAAGTTGGTCAGCTGCAGGAAGCATGAAGTGCTCTAAAACTTCCTGGTATGTGGCTGCGTTGACCCTGGACCTCAGAAAACACAATGGACCAACACCAGCAGATGACATGGCACCCCAAACCATCACTGACTGTGGAAACTTTACACTGGACTTCAAGCAACGTGGATGAAGTGCCTCTCTTCTTTTCCTCCAGACTCTGGGACCTTGATTTCCAAAGGAAATGCAAAATTTACTTTCATCAGAGAACATGACTTTGGACCACTCACCAGCAGTCCAGTCCTGTTTCTCTTTAGCCCAGGCAAGACGCTTCTGACGCTGTCTGTGGTTCAAGAGTGGCTTGACACAAGGAATGCGACAGCAGAAACCCATGTCTTTCATACGTCTGTGTGTGGTGGTTCTTGAAGCACTCACTCCAGCTGCAGTCCACTCTTTGTGAATCTCCCCCACATTTTTGAAGGGGTTTTGTTTCACAATCCTCTCCAGGGTGCGGTTATCTCTCTTGCTTGTACACTTTTTTCGACCACATCTTTTCCTTCCCTTCGCCTCTCTATTAATGTGCTTGGACACTGAGCTCTGTGAACAGCCAGCCTCTTTAGCGATGACCTTTTGTGTCTTGCCCTCCTTGTGCAAGGTGTCGATGGTCGTCTTTTGGACAACTGTCAAGTCAGCAGTCTTCCCCATGATTGTGTAGCCTATAGAACTAGACAGAAAGACCATTTAAAGGCTTTTGCAGGTGGTTTGAGTTAATTAGCTGATTAGAGTGTGGCACCAGGGGCCATCAATTTTGAACCTTTTCACAATATTCTAATTTTCTGATATGATGAATTTGAGATTTTCATTTGTTGTCATTTGTAATCATCAAAATTAAACAAAATAAACATCTGAAATATATGAGTTTGTATGTAATGTATGAATATAATATACAAGTTTCACTTTTTAAATGGAATTACTGAAATCAATCTACTTTTTCATGATATTCTAATTTTATGACCAGCACCTGTATTTGCAGGAAATTGTGGTTGACTCAATAATAAGATGCCATATATCAGCAAAATAATCCAATATTATTCCTTCACCATGCCCAGAAGCAAACACACTATGGAGCAGTGGTGCAAGTCTCCCTGGGAGGCCTGGGTTCAAATTCAAGTTGTGGCAACTGGTGTTAAAACTTTGCCAAGTCTGATGAGAAATTAATGTTTACTCGATCTGGTGAGTAGCTAAGAGAACAAAAACATTCTTTATCTTTTGGCAAGCCTTCTGAGATTAAGCTTTTAGTTTTAAAAACAAATAAAAGTGCAGGATAGCTTGGTAAAAAGAAAAATGGTTTTGCATATGAATGATCTCTCTCCATAACATATTTTGTTTGAGAATGGCCTTTAATCCTTCCTGCTTTTAATGAGACGAACAACTGTTTCTGATTATTGTAGATGTCTTTACTTTTTGACATTTTGTTAACAGGTGCTTGTTTTCTGCAGACCATTATACTTCAACATTCCTGTTATCTTAGATGCCCCAATCTTTCCGTTTTATAAGTATATAAAACTTAGGGTTGCATCTTTATTGGGATGGGAATTTAAGATTAGAAATAATTTTTTGTAGGGACTTCATATTTGACCAGATGAAGAGCCAATAACAGTTGACAGGTTAATTAGCTAAAGCCTGAAAATATGAGACACTGGTATCGATTTCACACTTAGGGACCCTGGTATCGAGTTCACACTTAAACTATAATAAACACTAATAAACTAAGTCTGAAATATTAACATGTTCCAGGATGTTTAATGATTTTTTAGGTTTGTTCTGTGCATTCAGGGGCTCGAGTAGCTAGGGCTACTACTCCTGGAGCCTATCCAAGCGACGTCACAATACTTAAAAAAAATTCTAGCTACCTCACAGCCTCCAGATGAGCCAGGGGGAAAAGCCAGATTTCGTACACGACCGGGAGTCACTCTGAGAGGATAGTAGGATGAGAAAGGCCCCTTGGAACCAACCCTTGGATCGAAATAAGGGGGGGGGCAATGTTGCCTGCCCCTTTTCAGGCAAAGCTAATATTATGTTCTGGAGGTTGCAGTTGTATGTGTTAGCATGAATGCTTCACCAGTTGAAAATAACGGAACAAGCATTTCATCATTTATGTGTTGTATAAATAAAGAGCTTTGCAACTGGACCTTGGTTTCAGCATGAGTTACGTACCTGCTCGCAAACACACAACAATATCAAGGTGAAAGTCATCATTAGTGTAGACCCAGCTCCCAACCCAACTTTAAGAATAGATCAATAGAGATTTTTTTTTTATCACCCAATAACAGTCTGGTGTTAGCACAGGACGTTAACGCCGATAACTGTCTTTCTGTCTGAAATAAGTAATTGAGCACCCTACTATTTTGCAATCTCTTCCACTTATCATGGAAAGTTTTGAAATTGTTATTGTTGGTGGATATCCACTGTTCAGAAATCACAATTTATGATTTTTTTAATTATTTATTTTTATGATACTGCTGCAAATAAGCATTTGAACACCTGAGAAAATCAATGTCAATATTTATTTTAGGTACAGTAGCCTAAAGTAGTTTGTAATTACAGAGGTCAACGTTTCTTGTAGTGTTTCACCGGGTTTGCACAAACTGAAGGAGGTATTTTGACCTACTTCTCAACGCAGATCTTCTCTAGATCAGTCAGATCTCTTTTTTGTCACTGAGAGTTTGAGTTCCTTCCAAAGATTCTCTGTTGGGTTTAGGTCTGGAGACTGGATATGCCATGCCATAACCTTGATATGCATCTTACAGACCTAGTTCTTGGTTATCCTGGCTGTGTGTTGCGGGTCATTGTCGGTCTCGACCCATCTTCAATGTTCTAAATGAGGCAACGTTGCTACCACTCCATTCTTTACACTAGGGATGCTGTTCTTGGAATGATATTCTTGACAGTCATGTTTAGCTTCCTCCATTTTCTAATGATTGCTGCAATAGTGGACCTTTTTCCATGAAGCTGCTTTGGAATTTCTCCGTAGCCCTTTCCAGCCTTGCGGAGGAGTACAAATTTGACTACTGTAGGATGGAGGTGGACATTTAGCAGAAAAACTAAGAGGTTCTTGAGGGTCAGAATTATAGCTGATAGACAGGTTTTGAAGTACATATTTGCAGCTGTATCTGCATATACACACACACACACACACACACACACACACACACACACACACACACACACACACACACATATATATGTGTATAAATATATTTTTTCACACTCTGTGTAAGTGACAAACCATGGATTGATCCTGTTTGTAGCTTTGGACCTCCAGAACAATTTGCCCAGGTCCTGTCGGATACATTCCCAGAGTATGTGACTGGTGCCTTGTCCCTGCTTACTGCTTCTCACCACAAACTTGTCCAGGTAGGGGGTCCCACCATTCACTGGCTCAATCGTTATGATGGCTGCTGCACTGTAGCTGGGAAATATATTCATGCAAAACATATTCAGATTCATATTCAAATTCAAATGTCTGGTATTGTCTTATGTACAAAAGCCTAAACTGGTATTGTTAGGATACAGAATCATATTTTTAAGTTAAATTGCAAAAAATGTTATGTAAATTATATTCAGTGTCTTTCCTGGATTGGGCCACGTTTTGAACTACTTGAGTTATCTTTCGTATATCTGCAAATTTTTTGTATGTCTGTTTTAGGGTGGCCATTTTTAAAGCACCAAAAAGGAAGACATTGTGCGGCATATCAATAAATTACTAAGGTGTACATAAGAAGCGGGTGAAGTCACATTTATAGTACAATTCTTAGTAGTTTAAAGAGGCCGTTGTGTAGCTAAATAGAACAAAATATTAAATAAATGTAAAAAAGAATTGGTTCCAAGCATTTGTATTTATTTGATACATTGTGGTGTTTAAAAAGTGACCACCAAGATGAATCTTGGTGATGAACCACAAAGCATAAGATGTGTGGACTTAAAATGTTAAAAAACTGCTGCACGTTTATTACTTTTATGTTAATCCGTACTTGCACGCCATTCAATTGCAGCTTTTCCACGACTGCTTATGCCCACATCGCATCAACAAAGTGGCAGAAACTATGGAATGAATCTCACTACCTTTGGTCATAAATTCACGCTCTTTTGTCCATTCTGGGTTAAACGATGTCCTGGTTTTGACAGGACACTAACTTTAATACTTAGCATCAGTGATTCTGATTCTTGTTTACTTTTGTAACCAATGACAAGCAGCTCTTTATCTGACACGGCACCACTCTTATCTAATCATCTGTTAGATCAGATAGTGATGCATTTTTGATGATTGGATATTGTGTCGCAGCCCAGCAAAAAAAAAAAAAAAATAAAAAATCTGCTCTGCAAGTCTAGTGCCTCATAAAGGAGGACAAATAAACGTCCGGCTGGACGCCGGACAGAGCAATGAAAATCCAGACTGTCCGTCCTAAAGCCGGACATCTGGCCACCCTAGTCTGTTTCCATCTCCTTGAACCCAGGTTGGCATCTGCAGAAGGTCGTTCACATCTGCTGCGAGTTTCTTCCTGTAAAAGGGGGGAATTTTCCTCTCCAATGTTATGACAAGCATGCTTGATGAGAGGGATTGCTGAAGAGTAGATGACAAAATGGAAGTGAAAATCGAGTAGGTTTCCCTGACAGAAACATTTGGCCAATCCAGTTGTTTTGTCTTAAGATGAGTTATCTTGTGAACTGGCGTAATTTAAACAACCTGAATTGAATTGTTTCATTTTTAGGTTGTTTTGCAGTTTATTTCATTTTATTTGTTTACGGATCATGTTTTATTCTAGCTAGCCAGCCGCTGGTGTTGCTGCTATTTTCCACATATGCATTACTGTAAAATAGTCTACAGCTGTTATTGATTTCTTGTTTAGAGTGTTATATTGTACAGTACAAACGCCTACTTGTTTTATTTTTCTTTGTGTTATTTTTATACATTTTTCTAAGGTACAAATTTGTGTGACCACTTCTACTCTAACCCTTGTTTCTGTAAGCAGCACAATTTTCCCATTGTTGGACAATAAAGATAGGAGGATTAGCTTATAAAACAATACCCAAAGCCTTGCAGGAACTGTTCAATATATCACCTGAAACTGTATATAATATTGAAAACCTACAAAGACATGAAGGATATTTACTTTTAAGATCACAAAATAATGCACTGTTCCAATAAATGTAAACACCAAATTGAAGTCTGTAGTTAACATACATCATAAAAATGGTTGAGTGCTATCAAAACTGCACTGCAATGTATCGTATTTACAATCTTTACTTTAGAAACCTTGTTATGGACTATGTGAACAAACCCTTCGGAGAGGTAAATGCAGTGCATCCGTCCCTTCAGAGAATCGATGTAATCTTTCCTCAGAGTTTTATCAAATGACTTGTTGATGAGAGTCAGCAGACGCTCCGTATCGATCTCATCCAGAGAGCTGTACCTGCACATTCAGAGAAATGAAAACATAGGGTAAGTTTGTGTGTTTAAAGCCGGATGTACACTGTGCGATTTTTGGGGCGATTTTCCAGTCGTGCGAAAATCTTTCGTACCGGTCCGTGGGTCATTTGGTACCGGGCCGCACAGAAAAAAATAAAATAAATTATATATATATATATATATATATATATATATATATATATATATATGTATATGTATATGTGTGTGTATATATATATATATATATATATATATATATATATATATATATATATATATATATATATATATATATATTATCGACGATCAGAGTCTGAGTAATGTTTTATTTTGAAAAATATAAAAAATTGAGGTATTCTCTCTCTCTTACTCTCTCTTATCATTTATCAGTCTTGGGGTTTAAATTAGTTTCCTTTTTCCAGATTGCCTGAGAGTGTGTTTTACGTTTTTATGGATTGTGTAGGACTGACAGATTTAAGAAAAAAAAATTTAATCAGCGCTTTTAGCCTTTTTAGTGTGGTTTTTACCCATTCCGTTTTTGTCAACGATGTGCATTACAGTCGAGCCACTGCTTTCAAATCCCGTATTTTAAATTATTTAATAGAGCAGCTCCATCTCACTGCGGAGCTGAGGTTGACCTGATTTTTAGTCGCACAATGTGAAAAGCAAGATCGCATCAGAGCGTTGGGTCACACATACAGCGTGAGCTGTGAAATCACAATGCGCGACTTAACTCTGCGGTTTAGTCATTCAGTGTAAGAAGTAGCTGGATGCAACGACTGAAAAAATCGCACAGTGTACGCCCGGCTTAAGTCATTCAATCCTTATGAGAGAGGTCAATTTTTGAATTATGCCTTACATATCAGATTATTTGAAATTTCCTGACCTTTGTATGGGGTCACCATTTTTAAACAGTGTTCCAGAACCTGACACAAGAGCAAGACAAAAACAGAAGTAGCAAATTATTTGTTTGGTTACCTCTAAAAATATTTGAAAATATCTGCCCCATAAACTCAACTACACTGTTCTTCTGTACATAGAAATCGCTGAAACTACCCAACAGATTTTCTGTGGTTTTGTGTTTTTGTGATGACTGTAGCTTTCACATCGATTTTTAATATTCCTATCTTTTTTAATTATATATTTCATTAAATATTTTTCATAGCAGTATAACCGTTTCTGTGAACATATAGCATATAATTGGTCTTGGAGAGTTTGTCAAAGGCCTTACCCTTGTGGCTGAACAGTTCAGTCAGTAATGTGTCCGCTGAGGTGATCACAGCAGAGGACTCTGTTGGTAACTGATTTAGGAGCCTGGCGATGGTGTCAAGCCTGCGACGAACAGGTGGACTCAGCCATTCTGCTCTGGACAGACCAGGCAGGTCAGCGGGCAACGACACAGTGTCCAATACCTGTAACTCAAACAGGAAGTGGTACATATGAGTTTTGCACAAGACCTGCAAATCTAATTTCTTAAGAAATTATGACTTATGTGCCTGTTGTTTTTCGCTCCGCAGGCCTCCTGAGTTGTTCAAAAACATGACTTTGAGGGGCTGAAGGGCTCGTGAAATGGCTGCTGTGACCTCAGTGGGGTTGAGCACCAACGAGCATCCTCGTCCGTCTCTCCCCACTGGACAAACCAACGGGATGCTCCCACAGTTCAAACACCACTGCAGGAGACTGATGTCCACAGCAATAGAGTGTGAAGCACTGCAGAGAAGAAATCAAAATTAAATAGATGTTGGCAAACATGATAGAAAGAAGAGTTGCAGAGAAAATAAATAGTGCTATACATAGTCAACGTCAAATATCCAGATTCACTCTGTTTCTAACAACCATGTTGGTAGGTAGAATTACTTTAGAAACGTCTCAGAAAGTTGGATTTCCAGGAATTTTTCTACAAAACTTGCAGACCACACGTTTTGAATGTAAGCAAATGTGACTCTGAAACATTGATAACAAGGATCACCTTTTGAAAATAGCATGAATCGGATCTGATCGCTGTCAGCATTTAACTGTATATGGAGACTGTATCTGCAAGCTGTACAGATGTTGTAAAAATAACGATAAAAAAAATTAGATTTTATTTAAAAAAACTTTCAGGTCACCCATGGACACTTCACACAATACACAATATCAGAAAGTACATACATTAGGATATATTGCCGAAATGGAGCTAAAATCAGTTGGAGAAACCACCTGAAACCATCCCCCTTCTCTTCTCCACAAAGGAGAACAAAGGATTCCCGCCAAAAAGGAGAACAAAGGATTCCCGCCGAAACAAGAACAAGAACGTACCGGCCCTCTGTGGGAGGCGGCCACCTCAAACGGACCAATCAACCGAATACTCCAACAGGAAGTGCCTCGTGTCACTCATGGCACGGACCAATCAGCCGATACGCAGACAGGAAGTGCCCGCACGTCACTCATGGTTTAAAACCCAGCAGCAGACATTTTTTCTCTTACTTTTCCGGTGGGTTTTTAACCCGATAGGAGAGGCTCCATTTCACGTGAAATACCAGAAGAAAGCTGACTGGAAGTAGCTTTCGTTTTCCTGCGTCAAAAGTCACGGATCGTAGTGTTCCATCCTGCATAGCGGCTGCGCCAACTGAGGAGACAGAAGCCTGTGAGCTGTGTGTGTTTTTCCCCTTTTTGTGAAGACCGGCCGGAAGGATGCTTCCCGCCGATTACTTCTCCAAAATCCATCCTCTTCAACTCGTGAGCATATCAGGCCCTCTGCTGTAGCATCGAACTGACTGAAGTTTCCGAGACCGGACCCGGGGCTGAAGGAGATCCGCGCGACCGGAGCCAGACCACATGCTCCCTCGGACCCATGCTCCTTCACGGACCGGGCAACTCAAAGTAAAATCAATTTCCTTTCCTTTTGATGCATTAATGAGGTGCTGCGCTTGGGCGAGAGACAGGTAGATTCAGGGATTTGAATTAATGCTGAATTTTTAATCTGTGCTGATTAAGAGTTTGTTCATTTGGTTGAAATAATTTTCTGTTCTTTATTCTCGTTTCTGTGCTTTCCTGTCCTCTTGTTGTTTCTGCTTTGAGATAGTTATAAAGTTATCACATTCAGCCACGTGTGGTCCCGTGGTTGCCATCATCTTGATTACCGATTGTTCCTCCCCCCATTTGTCTTTGTTCTTCTCACCACGTGGAGAATGAGCTACACCCATTCACACAGACAGCTACATTGTCTGGCAATGTGTTTTGCTAAACGATTTCTGCTGCTATTGTTAATACATTTTTAATCATTTTACCAATATTAAGCTGGATGTGTTTATGTTACATGATCAATTGCACTGTTATCATTATACCCGCTGCTAACGGACATCAGTGAATGTATTAATATCTGGCATATTTTGGACAATCTCAGACGCCAGTAAATGGACTCTTATGGTTTTATTTCTTTGTTTTCTATCTCATTTTATTCTTTATTTTTGATTTTTTTTTTAACTAGTCATTTAATCTACCTCGTGTTTATTTTTCTAGTAGTGTGTAGTGTTTGCATAGATGTTAGATTTTCTGTAATCCTAAATTATTTGAATAAAGACATCATTGGTTAGTCTGTAGTGGTTTTGGTCGTTCATATGACGGAGGGTTTATCACTCAGGGTGAATCCACCCCCTTTTGGTAATAGTGTGAATAAACAGAGATAGAAGGTTCTTGATAATTTAATAGCTTTGATGATAACTTAACCTGGGCCACTAGATTTACAATTATCCACCTAAGAACACTAAATTGATTTTGCCTTCGATTTTGAATAGAATAAATAATTAACTATAACTCCAGTTCTAGTTAACCATCTATTCATTATCTGCAGGACATTATTTTGCACAACACAGGTGGGAGTGAATTCCAGAGTTAAGGACCAGACCAGGAGAAAGCTCTTTTCCACAGGATGACAAGGCAGGCAGGAGGCTTAACAAGGTGAGTGGAAAAGGACAATCTAAGAGTATGGATGGGGCATGGTTACATGTGACTTTGAGCTACTTTGACTTTGAATCCAAGCGTTTCATCGGCCTATCTGATCGGCCTTTATGGAGACCGCCAATCAAACTATTGAAAGCCTTTATCGGCCGATACCGATCAGTGACCGATCAATCGGAGCACCCTTAGATTCTGGAGCTGACAGAGAGCCAGTAAAGACCCTGTAAGACTGGGGTGTTGGGAAGGGAATGGGGGTTTTATTTAATTAAAAGAGCAGCTGAGATCTGGACCAACTAAAGCTTAAAAAGATATTTAAGGGGAAGGCCAAAAAGAAGAGAGTTGCAGTGATCGATACAGAAGGTGAAAACGTATTGGATCAGAACAGAAGCAGAGTGTGTGCAAAGAGAGGGAGAAAGACAATTAATGTTTTGTAGGTGAAGATAAGCAGAATGGGTAACGTTATTGATGTGGGAGGTGAATGAAAGTGTGCTATCAACGATATCACCCAGACTCTTGACCTGAGAAGATGGAACTGTCAAATGTAAGAGAGGACCTGTCAGTCTTGGATAAAACTGTTTTGGTTCGTACCACAAAGATCTCTGTTTTGTCGCAATTCAGCTTCAGGATGTTAGTATTGAATCATGCGTTACTTTCAGCAAGACAGAAGATGAGAGATAAATGAAGTAGTTTGCTGTTAGGCTTACCAGATAAATAGGGTAGCTGGGTGTCATCCGCATAACAATGAGAATGGATATTTAATTGAATTGAAAGATGTTACTAAGTGGCAAAGGTAGACAATAAAAATCAGGTTTTGCAAAATTGCATATTTTTACAATATCTCTGATAATTTAGAAATTATAACCCATCATGCAAAAAAAAAACTAATTGGTCTTTGGGGCCCTCTAGTAGATAGGTTAATCTGCATATGAGCCTGCAATGCATATCAAAACTTATATAGCACAAATAAAAGCTAAGTAGACAAAACAGTGTCACAAACATTTTAAATGCAGCTTTTGCATATAATTATCTAAATTTACAGTTTTTAAGAACTAATTTTCAACTGTGAATTTACTTGTTTCTTCAATGATAGTCTATTTTTTCCTTTGTCTATTAAAATGAAACAGAAAATTAAGTAGCATTAAAAAGAAATGGTACAATTTGTTGATCTTAATATCTTGAAATTAGTGGGGCTTAAATATTTTTCATAATAAAGTTTATAATTTCTTTTTGTCTTTTGCTGAGGATATTTCAGCTTTTTTACAATATTGCACTGAATTTTATGCATTCTGAGCTATTAACCCAACTTAAGTTCCACCATGTCGCCGGCGACCCGGTAGGTTTTAAGAGGTTAATGTGCAGAACTCAGTAACCTGTAGTTTAATCCAAATAATGCCGGAAAAATTAAGGTTTTAGGTAATGTTATCCATACAGCAATTTCTTTTAAAATTTATGCATATTTATTATTCTTTAGAGTAAATCACTGTGATTTTTATTTTTCTTTAGAGTGGAATTCTTAAACAGGGGGTGCGCAAAACCTAGGGAGTCGAAGGAGGTACTGCATGGGGGTAGCGAAAGTTTTGGTTGATTAGACGTTTTTTTTTTTTTTTATTATTCCCCCCTGCAATTTTTTCCACTAATTGAAATGTCTTTAAATGCACATCAAAATGAATTCAACACACTGTAGTAAACAGATAAATGGAGGCAGAAGATGTCTTTCAGTCATCAATGCACGCATTCAGTGACACACAGGAGCTCTTTCAAGCAGGGCACCGTTTCATTCACAACACCTGACCCTCAACAAAGAATCAAAATCAGGTATACTTTAATAATCCAAAGGCAAAATTACTTTCATTACATGACTCCAACTGTTAAAGAGTGACTATAGGATTAGTTGGATATAATATAATATATATAATACAATTTCACACAATATATATAATTAGGGGGTCCCCGCTCCATCTCGCCATCAGGTTGTTGGTCCTTAGCCTGGAAGACGTTTAAAACCCCTGCTTTAGACTTATATTCAGTGTTTTTTTTCCAGTTGCTTGATTAACTATTAAGTAGAGGACCGCTTTTGTTTTCACAGTCTGTTAGTGTTGCTATTTGACGGTGTTTTGCTGTGTATTTTACTGACTTCTTTATAGTGTATGGTGAAATTATCTCCCAATTTGTTGGTTTCAATTCTATTGCTCCAGTGAGAACAAGTTTCTATAAAATCTGAAATACTCTTCGACATCAACGGCACTGTCTAGTATATGGCGTCATTGACCTATACTCTGCGTTTGTCTTTTTTCATCTTAAATCAAAAGACACTTTTTATTACAAGATAGATCAAATATATCTGAAATGTGTCATGTTCCAGGGATAAGTTTTAAAATGTCAGTGGTGGTCAGAGCAACTTTTTTTCTCTCTTTCTTTCTCCCAACCTGCAGTTTGTCATATTAACAATAGATTTATTTAATTTACACAATGGCCAAATGTGTGAAGACTAATTTCAGTAGCAGCGCATGCTGCTAGGACCCTTGTGGTATAAAATAAACCTTATGAGAATTTATATGCAACTGGGAGTATAATTATGAAAAATAAATTGTTTGATATTGGTTAAATTAAAAAGTTAATTTAATTTACCACACATCTGAAATATTGTGTGAGTTGCACTATATTTATGTATGCCATATTTTTTTGTTTATAATGAAAGAACAATATACCAAGTGAAATGTTTTATAACTTAATATTTTTTAACATCACAGTCTTCAAACTGACTAAATAGCTTAAAGCAATGCTTTCAAGCAAATTAACAAAAACAAATTGTACTTACTGTGTGGGGAACTAAATAGGAGTCATGCTATTCCAGAAGAAAAAAAAGTGCTGAATTGTATAATCTGTTTTTCTTTCAGTGAAAAAGAAACAGTAAACAAGCAAGTGAATTCATAATATTGAGCAAGTAGGAAGCAACATGTGTTGCCAAGGAAAGCCAGCTTGTCAGCCAGTGTTGATAAGGCTATCTTCCTACGATCTGAATATCTCTCACGGCACACTAGTATGCCGTGGCACACTGGTTAAGAATCGCTGCTCTAATTGGACATCTTTAAAGTCTTTGTTCCTATAGCTAACAAGGAAATCAAACAAACTTTTAGCCTTCGGCTCAGGGCAGATCTTTTTTTAGGGACGTAACTGAATTAATGGCTCAGCTTCATTGTGTCTTCTCTTTAGCCAAGTAAACTAGCCCCACCCGCCAGCAGCCAAAATCTTTTTTGCCTGTGAGTCGGTCTAGCCTCGATCTATGCTCCAGGCCCTAAATCTGGCAGGCCAATAACAACACAGAGATATGTTCTGAATGTCTGGATTCAAAGTGGGCGGGGTTTTGAGGGCATGATGACAAAGCTGCACGATGCTGGAGAAAGCACAACAGTAGCATGCACAGCAGCAGCAGCAGCTGCAATCCATTGAAAGTTCTCTTTCTGTTGCTGTGGTTCAGTAAAAGTATGTTTTAAGATAATTTCAGTCGAGAATATTATACTGTAAAGCGTCACTATATGGTCCATTTACTGATTTAATGGGTAATTAAAAAAACAATTTCCGAAGTTATGAGGACCGTGGTAAGCAGCAGAGCTCCGAGGCTAATGGCAGCCAAGGCTAACCGCAGCCTCGCTGCAGCGGCCCTCTCTCGGCATAGTCTTGTGTGAAGGACCGCTGGCTCTGATAGTGTTTTTTGACTCAGCTTTGAAATCAGTTTTGGAAGGATTAGACTTGGGGTTTTCGTTGAAACGCGAGCAGGAAGCAGCTCTAATCTCATTCATTTTTGAGAAGGACATATTCCAACAGGCTGTTTGTTTACACTCCCCCACCAGCTTCCTGTTGCACCAGACTAAATAACACCTTTCATCTCCCATTTATGCTGGTTTGTCAGGCTATCTCCTCTCAGTTTGTGTTCAAGACACCTCGCCCCCTGTAGTAGAGACTGACATTTTTTCGGGATTCTCACGGGTCAGGGGATTCCCGTGGGATGGGAGTCAGTATTAGTAACGATCACGTGATTGGGACGGTACAGGATTAAACATTAACGGGAGCAGACGGGAGCGGGAGCAAACCAATAATAACTAAAAAAAAAAAAAACTAGGATCGATGCCAAAAAATAAAATAAAATAGAAAAAAAAAAATCCAGTACTGGCGCGGCACCGCCATTTTGTAGTTTTTTTCCTTGAAGCCTACACTATATGCGAATCAAAAAAAACTACACGACCCAAAAACCAACAGTGCTTCCGCTCTGAGTTTTTCACCCGCGCTCAAAAACAACAGGAATGGGAGTGGTGTGGGAGCGGGAGTCATTCTGAATGGGAGCGGGATGGGAGTGGGAGTAATTTCACCAGGAGTGGGACAGGACAGGATTTAGATTTCTACTTTGGCCCGAGATCGGGACGGGACACCATTTTTTTTCTGTGGGAGTGGGACGGGACAGGAGTGAAAATCCACTCCCGTGTCAGTCTGTACCCTGTAGCCAATAGGCCTTTTACTCAGCTGCAGCTGCATTATTTTTTTAATGAAAAACAATTACTGATGCTGGTATTACTCAATGCTGTTACTCTTAACACTACATATATGTAAACAATAGTGTCTATGTGTCTATCCCATTTTCTTGGTTATTGATCAACAAGATACAAGAGAAATCTATTTCGGCTAGAAAACAGAATGGTAGATGGTCCAGGTGTGTAAAACCAAAACATGACCTCCAATCCCAAAACTCTCCAAAATAAAACAAAAAAAACTAAAGGAAATTAAGCAAAAGCTTTAAATTGAAATAATACATTAAAATACAAAAATACAATTGTCCTTAGAGGGAGCCTTGACAGAAAACTGCCAGTATTTCTGTTGGACAATGCACACTTGTCTATGCTGTTAACAATTCCATTAAAGGAATAGTACACCCAAAACATGATTAGCCTTCATTTTCTACTCACCCCCATGCTGAACAACACTCTGGAGTACTTTTTTGATATCTCAAATGCATCTGGAGATCTGGGGGGCTTCTTGCTGTCTGCTGAAATTCAAATAATGGAGGTCTATGGTGCCCGAGGCAGAAAGGGCCATAAAAGTCCACAAAAAACGTGTTAATATTCCTCCATACTGCTTGTCCAATGTATTCCAAGTGTCCTAAGTGGGTAGCATCCAGAATTTACTCGAAACGAAGTCATTTAGAATGTTTTTAGAGCATAAACAGTAGTGTATAGGATTTCCTGAAAGCGCGCGCCTGCACGTTCACGACGCTACGGAAGCCGGCAGACCAAACCAGATGAAAGTGCGCATTCAGCGTCTGCTCTGCCGATAATGCAAGCGTAAAAGAAGAAATGTGCTGTTTACCTGTGCAAAGAAAAAAACAACGAAAGAAAAATGTCTGAGGACTTCCGTGTTGAGGAAGAGCATGAGTTCTTTGCCGAGCTGAATGCGCACTTTCATCTGGTTTCGTCTGCCGCGGTTTCCGTAGACTCGTGAACGCGCTTTTAGGAAATCCTATACACTACTGTTTATGCTCTAAAAACATTCTAAATGACTTCGTTTCGAGTAAATTCTGGATTCTACCCACTCAGGACACTTGGAATACATTGGACGAGCAGTATGGAGGAATATTGACACGTTTTTTGTGGACTTTTATGGACCTTTCTGTCTCGGACACCATAGACCTCCATTATTTGAATGTCAGCAGACAGCAAGAAGCCTCCCAGATCTCCAGATGCATTTGAGATATCAAAAAAGTACTGCAGAGTGTTGTTCAGCATGGGGGTGAGTAGAAAATGAAGGCTAATCATGTTTTGGGTGTACTATTCCTTTAAGTTTTCTTTTCTTTTAAATTAAAAGCTTTATGTGAACCTGCTTCCTGGTGGTGCTTCTTGCAGCTGTAGGAAAGATTCTGCAGAAAAGAATGGCAGAACGGATGCTGAGTGTTGCTGTAGGGCTTCTGTCAGCTGCTGGCATCGCTCCACCAAACCTCTGGTGTACCAACACCCACTAACTGCTTCCATAGGTCCTGACTCCTCGTTGTCATGGCAGCCCATCACCACCACAGGCTTCATGTCCATCCTCTGCAGGAAAGACAGCCCAAAGGCCAGGCTATCAACCATCCCCTTGCTTTGGAATGCTGAGCTGTCCACCTTGAAGAGAAACGAAAGATTTAAAGAGTTTTAAGAGAAACTCTAGTATTTGTAGTTTTTTTTTTTTATTTGAAGGATTTACAACACATCTATCAGTTTATATTTGTAGTTCAGTTTCTTTTTCTCTCATGGTACTGACACTGAATTATTTTAACCTACTTTTTATTTACATCTGCATTTTACACACTGCAAAAACAATCCAGAAATAAGTAAAAAATGGCTTAAATTAAGTATATTTAGCCTTAATTTGAGCAGGTAAATAAGATGATTTGCCAATGGAATGAGTATTTTCACTCTTAAAATAAGATAGTTAGATAATATTTACTTGAAATAAGACGATAAAATAGTTTTTTTCTTATTTTAAAAGGAAATTGTCTTGTTCCATTGGCAAAGTGTCTTACTTATCTCCTCAAATCAAGGAAAAACACACTTATTTTAAGAAAAAATAACTTATTGAGATTTATATTTTTTGCAGTGCAGCAAACAACAACAATAACCTTCTAAATGATGACAACAATAGGTTAAAAACTAGCAAACTTGAGGCGCTTAAATCAGTCACGAAAGTCAAACTTTTAAAAGGATTTAGTGACATATGACTTAAAGAAACACTGTTTTGACCAGAGGTGTCAAGTAACGAAGTACAAATACTTTGTTACTGTACTTAAGTACACTTTTTATGTATCTATACTTTACTCTATTACTTATTTTTCCTCCTACTTCCTACATCTATTCATTACATTTTCACACAAGTATCTGTACTTTCTATGCCTTACATTTTTAAAACAACCTTTACTCGTTACTCTTGGCTTCGGTTTAATGCAGAGGTCACGGATTAGGGGACCGCGTTCCGATGTTATGCAGAAGAGTGCATGCCTGCCGAGATATGTATCCCCAGTCGCGGGCGGGAGCGCGCCTCGATCTGTACAACTGCATATCAACCAGGAAAACTGATTAAAATATGACAAATGGAGCTACTTGTTGTTATATTAATGATATAAAAACGTTTAAATATACCTCTCGTGGAAAAAAATAGTGGATATTTGGCAGATTCATTTACAAAAGTACAGGTGTTATGAACAACATTAAATCCAAAGATTTTGACTGAGGTACGGCTGATTTATTTGTTGTAGTCTCTTGTTATTCACGTGAGTTTGGAAACTGCAAAGCTTTGTCTTAAGCGGAAAATCAAACGCGCATCTACACAGACCAGTGTGATGCGTTCACGAGCGTCAGATTGCTATGGTGCATTCAGGAGCATGGGACATTTCACACTTACAATGAAAGAGACATAAACGGAACAGAACTTCACTCATACAATAATGTATTTACTCAGAAACAGTTTGGGCTTTCTTATAATACTGAATGCTCTATAATTGTATTTCTGTTATTTTTTGACTATGCACATCTGCTAGCTTTTTATTCCAAAAAATCTATATTACAGCAGCAAATTATCAAAGTTTTTCAAAAGCCTGTTTAAAAGTTCCAAATGAGGCTTCAGATAATATAGCGACTGTAAAAGCCAATTTGAGACAAATTCATTTATAGTTTTAAAAAGGGTTAAAATACAAGATTGATATTTTTTTTGTTGTTAAGATTATAATTTAAGTTTAAAAAACTCTAATATTAAAAGCATAGAATATAGAAATGCAATTTGAAATGCAGATTTTTGGGCTTCCTGCATGCTGTAATTGTATATGTGTTTTTTATTTTTTTTTTTTTTTTTTTTTTTTTTTTGTTGGTTTTACCTACTGTACGTAAGGACTGAGGGAAAATAGATATGCTGGAAGCAACACAGTTTTTGACCGAGTTTATATTATACGAATGTGGAGGTTCTCTTATTTTTGTTTTCTTTTAATAAACATCACAAGTTGAAGAACATTATCTGGAATAGCTCACGTTTCAATACTAGTTGCTAGACTGTTTTTCCATGCGGTACAGAAGAAACTAAAGGAGCTGGGGTGCCGCTACAGCGACAATTGCGCTGTCATTGTTTTACAGGGCAGAATTTGCATTTGCTGACCCTTGTCCTTCAACTAGTGATGGATATACAGGAATATAGTGTCAACTCCTCTGATCTTGCACGGGATGCAATTTTTGGATTTGATGGATATACAGGAATACAGTGTCAACTCATCTGATCTAGCACAGGATGCAATTTTTGTAAATTTCTTCTTTTTTTTGTTAATTCAGTGTATAACATGAATGCATAAATACCTCTTTTTATTTCAGTGTTAAAATTCTGATCATAAAACAGAATGTCTCCGTATCTTCACTGGTTGATGATTTTCTTTATTCGGACCCCACTCATTTTTAATTGGTTACCCCTGGTTTAATGTTTATAAATATTTATTTCACATCATGTACACCATCCAATGCAGATCATTGGCGCAATCCACATTTAGTGAAAACTAGTGTAATTGGATGAGTCATATAACACAAACACTCATTGGTTAGCTATTCGTCAAATTTGTGCTGACGCCAAAGAAAATTATTAGGCAATTATCAAGCAAGCAGGTGTTTTTCAAACTGTACACACGTATTGTCTATGCCATGCTACAATATCAGATTTGGAAAAAGATGTTGAAATGTCTGAAAGGTGGGAAACAGGCGAGAGAGTATCGGGGGATGGAGACACAGACTAACAAGACCTCCCTTATCCTTGGCCCTATCTCAAAGAATTTTTTAAAATATTCAAAAAATTTAGCTTTCAATTCATATAGTGGCATGTGGCTGTTTTTTTTGAAAGGTTACTTTATAATTTTATACTATAAGTATTTTTTGGAGCACATGCTATTTCACTTTTATTTGAGTAAAGAGGTCAAGTTGATACTTCAATTTTTACCAGTGTTTTTAAACTGCAGTATATATACTTCTATTTAAGTAACAAATGTGTGTACTTTTCAATTCAATTCACTTTATTTATATAGCGCCAAATTCACAACACAAGTCATCTCAAGGCACTTTAAAGTTCAACCAGATCATACAATCAAATTGATTCAAAGTGTTCTATCTAAGGAAAACCAGCTGATTGCATTGACTCATTGACTCAAATACAATCCCTCACACTAAGCATGCTTGAATCGACAGTGGAGAGGAAAAACTCCCTTTTAACAGGAAGAAACCTCCAGCAGAACCAGGCTCAGTGTGAGCGGCCATCTGCCGAGGCCGACTGGGGTTCAAGGAGACAGAAGTCGAGACACAAAAAGCAGTTGCAAAAGGCTTCCCCGTCCAGGAAACAGACGGCCAGGCAGATGAGCTCCGAGCCAGCTCCCATGCCAGAATATGAAGAGAGCACATCCAGCCAGTCACAGTCAGAGAAACAGGACTACACTGGAAAACAGGCTGATCTCCAGCATCTATAAACAAGGGTGTTGATGGAAGCAGCACAGCTGACGCTTTTCTCCAAGGTGGAGTTACAGCCAAACAGGAACAGACGAGGCAAAGCTACTCTGAGGAAAAGCAGAGAGAGCAGAACGTTAGAGATTGAACAGATTCTGCAGAATAGGAGAACAGAGAGAAGGAAGCAGAATGATGAAATGGGGGTCCCTATGTCCTCCTAAAGTCTAAACCTATAGCAGCATAACTATAGAGATAGCTCAGGATAACCTAAGCCACTCTATAAGCTTTATCAAAAAGGAAAGTTTTAAGCCTAGCCTTAAAAGTAGACAGGGTGTCTGCCTCACGGACTAAAACTGGTAGTTGGATCCACTGGAGAGGAGCCTGATAACTAAAAGATCTGCCTCCCATTCTACTTTTAGAAATTCTAGGAACCACTAGTAAACCTGCAGATTGAGAGCGAAGTGCTCTGTTAGGAACATAAGTGAGAAGGAAGATTTTAAATTCTATTCTGGATTTAACAGGAAGCCAATGAAGTGAAGCCAGGATAGGAGAGATATGATCTCTCTTTTTAATTTTCATCAGAACTCTGGCTGCAGCATTTTGGATCAATTAAAGGCTGTTAACTAGAGTTTGTGGACTTACTGATAGTAAAGAATTACAATAGTCCAGCCCTGAAGTAACAAATGCATGGACTAGTTTCTCAGCATCAACCCTGGACAGGGTTCTATATGGGATTTAAAAGTAAGGTCCTGATCAAAAACAACACCAAGATTTTTTACTTTATTATCTGAAATCAGTTTAATCCCATCCAAATGAAGTGACTCACTAATCAGCTTATTTTTCAAAGACTCTGGTCCAAAGACTATAACTTCTGTTTTGTCTGCATTCAGAAGCAGAAAGTTAAGAGTCATTCAGGTTTTTATGTCTTCAAGACATGCCTGTAATTTATGTAATGGGTTAGCTTCATCTGGATTTATAGACAGATATAGCTGGGTATCATCAGCATAACAGTGAAAATTAATCCCATGCTGTCTAATAATTCTACCGATTGGGAGCATGTATAAAGTAAAGAAAATTGGTCCTAGCACTAATCCCTGTGGTACTCCACAGGTAACCTTTGAGCATGTGGAAGATCTGTCATTAACATGAACAAACTGAATTCCATTAGATAGATAGGATTTAAACCAGACTAGTGCTGTACCTTTAATTCCAAAGAAATATTCAAGTCTTTCTAAAAGAATATTATGGTCAACTGTATCAAATGCAGCACTGAGATCCAACAGGACAAAAGTTCATTATGGTGTAAGTGATCACAAACTTGTTTGGCAACTACTTTCTCAAGAATTTTAGATAAGAAAGAAATATTGGATATAGGTCTATAATTGACCAAGTCATCTGGGTCAAGAGATGGTTTCTTAAGCAGAGGTTTAATTACAGCAACCTTAAAAGCCTTAGGTACATATCCCTGTAACAGAGATAGATTAATCACATCTAAAATGGAGGTGGAGATCAAAGGAAATACCTCCTAAAATAACCTGGTTGGAAATTGATCTTGTATTGAACATACAAGTTGAAGGCTTAGATGAAGACAATAATTTTGCTACCTCAAAAAGTTCAACTGGATCAAAGCTGTCTAAACCCAGTTCAGATATCATGTCTAC